CTCTCTCTCTCTCTCTCTCTCTCTCTCTCTCTCTCTCTCTCTCTCTCTCTCTCTCTCTCTCTCTCTCTCTCTCTCTCTCTCTCTTTTCTCTCTCTTCATCGAGACGTGGATGTGTGTATGTGCATTTATCCCATGGGGTGTCAAAGGGGGCAGTACTCATGATTGATTGATTGCATACATGAATGTCATTCATGTAAGTATAAGAAGAGAAACATTGAAAACATGTTTTCAATACATCGACTCCCATGAGGCACTTGCCCATGTACAAAGGATCTCACAATCCTCCCCCTTCCCACTGGTGTCAGTGTCGTCTTTCTCATGTCTGTGGTGTGCAGTGTAAATGACAACAACAGATATAGGTATGTGCAAAAGAGTGTGGACAATGGGTCTCGCAACTTCTTCTTTATTAGAGAGGGAGATGAGAGTATTGTCTCATATCATTCGTCAATATGGTAATAGGTATCCCATAGCCAACACACACGATATTAACATGAACGAAGTGTTGCAACTCACTCGAAATGATTTTTTTTCACTCGTCATCGAAAGCAAGTGGTTAAATGACAACGTCATCAATTTCTACCTTAACCTTATCGCATTGGACAACGGATGTAGATTAGCACACATAGAATGCGACGCAGAGAACGAGACCGTCATTAGAATAAGAAAGGGTCGCGTTCCTAGAATATTGGTGTTGAGCTCATTTTTGTTCGCCAAACTTTTCGACAAGGAAATGAGATATCGAGGCCGAGAGGTAGTGCATTGGTACGAAGATGTAATTATAAGTGACATGAACTTGATAATTGTCCTTTTCCATATCGTGCAGAAGGACCACTTGACCCTCGTCGTGACTGACTTTAGAGGGAGGAAATTCAAATTTTATGATTCCCTCGACCCCAACATGAGATTGGCGAGAAAAGTGAAAGGTGGGTTTGTGAAGTTTCTATTCGAAAGATCGAAATCGCAAGGCAAAGAGGTGGACACGAAACCCTTCAATCACATATGGAACGTAGAGGGCATTCTGAAACAACGTGACACGAATGAATGCGGGGTCTTCATGCTCAAGTATCCATCACTTTTGGCTAGGGGGCACCTTCTGCCTTTCTCATTCACCGTTGATGACATACCCGCGATACGTCGTCGATTAGTTTTGGACACAGTGACTCGTGAGTAGTGTGTATGTGTTATTCAATATTATGGTTACATGGAGGCAGATGTAACCGACATGAAATGGTTTGTGACAGAAACAATGTATAAAAAGTAGCAAGCATTGCTCAATACGCTATACCACTCACCCCTTGTCATTGACCACTTATCCCTTACCCCATATCCCTTACCTTTTATCCCTTACCCCTTACCCCTCATCCCTTACCCCAAACCCCATACTATGTTACCGCGCGTTCATTGAACGCGCGTTCCGCGTTCAGTTTATGATCGCAGTGAACGCGCGTTCACTGAACGCCCCTTAACGCGATTGACGCGTTTGCGTAGGGGGGTGGGCGGGGTGGGGTGGTGCTTTGGGCAGTGTGGGGAGCAGCAGCAGTGCTTGGGGAGGCTTTGGGCAGCGTGGGGAGCGGCGACGGTGCTTGGGGGGGGCTGTGGGCCAAAGCCCCAAGCGAAACAGGAAAAAGAAAAAAAAGAAAAAAACAGAACAGTGTGTGTACGTGAATTTGTGTGTGTGTGTGTGTGTGTGTGTGTGTGTGTGTGTGTGTGTGTGTGTGTGTGTACGTGTGTGTGTGCGTGGGTGTGTAAGGTCCTTTTTTTTCGAGGGGGTGGGGGAATCCCCCTAACACAGCTCAGATAGCCCATGCAGGTTATCTGAAGGATCCGCGCAGACATGTAGCGCAGACCCCCCCACCAAAATCGACGCAGGCAGTGAATATGAAATAGAGCACGAGCTGGCCCGATATATACTCAAGATTCGATTTCAGGTCTGTGTTTCAGCAGTTATGGGTTGCTCACGTAGCTAGGGTCTGTTGGTCACTGCACGTGAGTCTTAGGGCTTGGCTGCACTACTCACGAAATGTGCTAAGTTAGAATGTATCTTCTGCAGAACGTGGAATTGTGCATTTGGTGAGTAAAGGCCCTTAGGGCCACTGCACGTATTCCTAAGAAAAGAAAAACGAGAAAAAAAAGAACAAAAAAAAAAATGAAAAATGAAAAACATGAAAAACAAGAAAAGACAAAACATATGGTGGCGTATTATTCCACGTTCTGCAGAAGATTCATTCTAACTTAGTAAAGGCCCTTAGGGCCACTGCACGTATTCCTATGAAAAGAAAAACGAGAAAAAAATAACAACAAGAAAACTGAAAAATGAGAAAAAAGAAAAACAAGAAAAAATTAAAACGATGGCATATTATTCCACGTTCTGCAGAAGATTCATTCTAACTTAGCACACACTGAGTAGTGCAGCCAAGCCCTAAGAGTCACGTGCAGTGACCAATAGGCCCTAGCTACGTGAGCAACCCATAACTGCCGAAGCACTTCAAACACAGACCTGAATTCGAATCTTGAGTATATATTGGGCCAGCTCATGCTCTCTATTTCAGATTCACTGCCTGCCTCGATTTTGGTGGGGGGGTCTACGCTACGTGTTTGCGCGGACCCTTCAGATAGCCTGCATGGGCTATCTGAGCTGTGTTAGGGGGATTCCCCCACCCACTCAAAAAAAAAAAAAAAAGAAGGAATTTTCACACAAGGCGGAGGTGATGCGGTAGGGGGGGGTAGGCCTCTGTTTTTTTTTTTTTGGGCAGTTTTGGGGTTCTTAGAACGAGGTCCACCACCTCGTAGTCCGTAATGCGCGCGTGTGCCCCCCGGGGTCGCGTTCAATTTTTTTGCGCCACGTGGTGCGTAGCGCGTTTGAACGCGAATGAACGCGGCCCTCGGGGGTATGAACGCGCGCGTTTGAACGTGAACGCGCGTTCAGCGCGTTCACCTGGTTACATAGACCCCATACCCCTTGTCCCATACCCCAAACCTTGAATTTCCAATGCTTTTTTCACCCAAATCATAATGAAAATGTCAAATTCGATTTCGTTCAAAAAATATAAAATGTTTGTTTTGACGAAATCGTTCTTTGGCCAGAAAAACCACGGGGATGGACTCGTCGCTTGAAAATTTGTGCGTCGCCGCCGCCGATTTCGATCCCTGAATCTCTCGGTTGGAAGTGCGATACTGCAACCAATAGTGTTAGGCCCAAGGCTGAGTCTAGTCTTGACGAACACCTAAATGAGCGGATACTGCGTGACGCGCAGATCTACTGAAATGTCATAGAGCCATGTCTCGGTTTACCAACTAATCCCACGCCCCTTGAACCTTCCTTGTCCACCGCGCGGCTATACAGACTCGTGCCTTCATCAATGTCGTCCTCCATACATGCACACTAATCACGATCAAATATATCAATCAAAATTGAGTATATATTTAATCCTTGTTTAATCAGAACTATAAATTCGGTCAGCAACTACGCAGACTTTTCAATCATCAACAAATAAAAGGATCACACGCGCCTCAAGCCTGCGCGCCCACACACTCTCTACTCTAGTCAACCATTTAATCAACAGAAACCACAGACACATCCGCGACTCGCGCGGTGTACGCAAACTTTAAACTAAACTTATTTTTTGTCATTTGTAAAAATCAGGGTAGATACCCTTATAAGGGCATTCGCGCCGACAACGGGCAGCGGCGGCCATAGATGCGATGAAATATCTTGAAGCGGCTTTCGTCGATAAGCAATCGGCGCAGACTTTTTTTTTCCGTTTTGTTTCGTTTGATTCAAGCCGCACGGATATTCATTTTATTTTTGTTCTTTGTTTACCGTTTCGCGGTTTTCGTGTTTTTTTTTTTTGCGGCCGTGTGTTTTTTTCTTTTTTCTTTCGTCATCACGACATTCGCGTCCTCTGTTTCATGGCCGCGCGTTTATGGTTTTCTTTTTTTTTTATCTTTCGTAGATTTTCGTCATTTTCCGCTTTTCTCTTATTTTTTTGTTATGGCAAGATGGCAAAATGCATCAGGGTGGTTGGGCGGGCGCAGACACCCAACCACCTATGCACACCCACCCACCCATGCACATGCACGCACATAAATATTAAGATTATGAAGTTCACTGTCAATGGTTGTCGCCAAGTTTTGAACCCACGAACAGATTTGAGATACACAACTGCCTGATTTGATAACCACTCAGGTCGACTAGGTCCTTCTGTGTTTTTGGGGACTGGTTCTTTATGAAGTGTATCCGACGTCAAACAACTGGCAGGTCAGGATGTGTCTGTGTCCAAACCCTAACGTTGAACAGTGTGGCAGGCGGGTCTAGTCCCGCAAATTTCAAGCGCCAACTCTGACGATTTTTCACGCTCAAACGAATTATGGAAAAAAAATGAAAAATTGACATCCTGTAGATTAGGTTGTGATATTTTCTGGAAAAATATCAAAAAAAAGAAACAAAATTAAACCGTGAAATAAATATCGCGTCGTTTCATTACATTTTTCATTTTTGTCATTCTGACAAGTGTTGGCCGATGGGAAAAGTACCCCAACTTCCACGATTATTTGCGCTCAGAAGGATAACTTCATAACTTTGTACTTCGAGGGTTTCTAGCGGCGGGGGGACTGGTGGTTTAAAGGGCCTGTAGATTTGGTCGTGATCTTTCCACGAAAAATATTTAAAATTAAAATAAAAAAAATT